CCTGCCAGCCTGCCTGCCAGCCTGCCTGCCAGCCTGCCTGCCAGCCTTCCCGATGCTGCAGGAAGAAAGCGCTACCGGAAAAAATACTACCGCAGAAAGAAGAAACTTCTTCCTGTGAGAGAGTACGACCTGAGAAGCTCCAGTTCCACCTCGAATGCCGACAGGATGGTGACGCGGCTTGCAAGCAAATCGAGAAGCAGTGAGGCCAAGTGAAAGCGCGCATGCTCATAACAGAGCGAGATCACCCTTCACTGGATGGAATACACATTTGGACTACTGACCTTACACTATTTTGCTACAGATATTATTTTTCAGAGATTTTATATTATTTAAAATTAGTGTTTAGGGTCCTTTTTTTTCTTTTAAAGATTTAAAAGCAAACTTTGTCCCGTTTCTGTAGAACTTCACCTTAATTTGTCTTATAATTTAGCATAGTAGATAGAATTTTGTCCCTTAACTCATGTCCATATTCATTTCCTCTGAAAACCTTTCGTGCCAAAAAGTTACAACACTGCAAGAATGAACACAGCAAACTTATCAATGCCACCTTTAAACAAATGGACGGATATTTAAACAAATGGACGGATATCTACGTAGTCACCATGCTTCCAAGCTGAATCTTCACATAAGTATTCGGACTGGGTAAATAAAACAAGTGACCTTGTGCTTTCTCAAGTTTTGAATGTGATTGACTTGAGTGATCACAAAAATGCAATTTTCTTTTAAAGGCATTCCATGAAATAATTATTTCATCCAGTTTTTTAAGTGCCTGGTGATTTTTATAGACAACAGGAATTCTTTTTCCTTCATTTACATTGGATCTGCAAGTCTGTAGCTTTCCTCAGTTAGATACACACCTACAGATCTGCTTAGTAGCATGATTAATCTTATATGGAAAAAATTTTACCAAAGTGATTAGACTTTTAAACCACCTTTTCCCCTTTACTAGTAATCTAAAATGAAAATCTAGGTAATTTTTGTCATCTTATTTATTAATATTTCAGACATTTTAACATATTGAACTGAAGTTACTGATTTGATAATAGTGTGTGGACTGGCCATTAATTGTCATTAGTGAAAAACTTTAACATTTCAGAAAACTTAAACTAGTAACTTAATTGGAGACCCATTTTACAAGTGAAAAATGATTTCTACATCAATCAGCTTATCTTAAACTATCTAGTTATCTTAAATTAGATAGCTCAAGGTTAAACAATTTGACATTTTTTCTTAAACAGTTCAGATAAAAGATGCTTTCGCACAGTGCGAGCCTCTGGTACTTGAGAATATTCCTTTAAGGGACATTGACTGAGCTGGTGCAGATGCACCCTATTGTCTTGTTCAGTCAAGACCTTGATCTTTCTCTGTCATTGATGTTACAAGGAAACACAAAGTTTCCCTTTATTGTGTAACTACTATACTTAATTGAAACTAGAGTCAGTGTTAAACTGTATCTTGATTTCAAAGATAGAACTGTGTTACCTTAGAATTAGTGAACTATCAATGTGATTTTGTTTCAGGGGCCATTATTTAACCTGTGAGTTGTTAATGGTGATAACTATTGTCATAGCTTTACTTCTAAATATAAATGGTAATTATATTGCAGAGTGGACAAATGTGTTTTTTTTTAGTTGGCAAGTAACGTGTTTAATTTCTTCAACCTTGCCTCCTTAAATACAAACATTTTAATTCCCTTTCTTAAAAACAGTCTCAGTGAACCGCTAGTTTTTTTTTAAACCAATCATCAAATTTGAATTTAGGAAGAAAACTGTTTCACTGATTATAAAGTACTCATGTAAAAGCACTTTGTTTGCAGGTATTAATTCTTTTGTAGTTCCCAGACACCCATTACTAAACACTCTTGCAGTGTAAATGTGAGAGTTCATACCAATAGCCTACCACATAATTGTGCCAGATCACGCCTACTGTGATTGTGCTCTGCAGTGAGGATCATTCTTAAAATTCAAACAGTCAAAATTTAGAGTTCAAAACTGTTAGAGTTTTCTTCATCAAACTGGAAACCCTTTTAAGGGAGAGCAAAGAAAAGATTCCTATGTAGAATTCCCATCACCCAAATATAAAATGTCTACTACAGAAATGATGGCTTTCTTTAGCACTTCACAAGTGTTTATTAAGTTCTTAGAAGGAACTTATTTAGGCCAGCTTGGAAACTTGAAATTATAAAACTTGTTAAATTGGAAGTGGATTTTTCAGAGTTCGATAGGTTGCAAGATGTGCCCCTTTATCTACACAGATGTTAATAATTTTCAGGCTAGGTTGAAACAATTGGTTATTTTGTGTAGTCTTTTAATAGTAGTACATCAAGTTACAACCATAAATGAATATTTTGTTATCTTGTTCTTTTCCGTGTTGTGAATGGCTTTGTACTGTAGTTGTCCCGGTGTGTGCAGTGTGTGGACCGTGTTGTGTAAAGTGTGGTTTTGCATTTGTGCACTGAAATTATTTATGTGATTAGGACTTTGCGTAACCCCCCCTTTTTTTTTTGCTTAAAGAAAGGCTATATTTAAATATTCAGATAATTATATATTTCGATGTAAAACTAACGTGAAGACTGATGTATTTTTTATAATGCAGTTTAAAGTGTAAGCTTCTTTTAATGTTATCAAGATAAATTTATTAAATATTGAAATTTGTGTTCACTCTCTTCTCATGTTAGAATCTTTTCCTGGAAGTATTTAAAAAGAATCACAGAGTAACCAAGTCTGAAATAACTCTGTAAAAGGCCTGAGAGATGATAAATACGAGAGTGCAAATGTTGATGCTGGCGAGAAAATAGTCTAACCAAAGACGCACAGGTTGTGCTCAAATCAGTAGTTATTTCAAAAGATTAAACAAGCACTAATTTGCCTGGTGAAGGGACGGGACAGCTGAGTTTCACTTGCGACGCTGTACTGAAAGGGAAGGAGGACCCCACACCTTCTGTCTGCCCCGCCCTGTCTGGTAGCGCCATGGCAGAGGACAGTGTCAATGGCTGACGTGGGACAACAGGGGGATAGCTGGGTTGACCCTAGGATTACTGAGTTACAGAACTAGGTGTTAGAATGAGAATTATCTTACTTAGTGAGAAATCACTTTTTAGTAAAGGACCTTTATGTTTAGAATCATGAATTACAGAATTATACACCAGAATGTCAGCTTGAGGAAATGGAAGGTAAGAAGAGTTAACGTTTCCTCATCTCTTATTCGAAGGAATTCAGATATTAAGCAGGGAAAGGATAGTTTAAAACATTTCCCTTTGTCCTTATACTTTATATGTGTAGAGTTCTAAGTATTTTATTTGCTTTGAATAAGGATCAGGTTCAGGATGAAGTAGTTTGTTTCTGGGTTTTTACATTATTTCTAGGTTTGTTTGTTTATTTTAACAATCTTTAAGCCCAGAAAGCAATTTATTTACCAGATTTGTTACTCCCAAATTTAGTGTATGTACATATTGAGCCCTTGGTGAGCACAACACATTTCCCTGGGCTTTAGCTACATCACGGCCCTTGGTCTTTGTGTTTGGGAGTGTTGCTGGAGTCTGTAGCGGTTACTATGAAGTGAGGAAGTCGAGGCATAGAGTAGTTAACCCCACTCCTCGGCCATCTCTCGTCTAGTTTCTCCTTTGTTTTTTTTTCCCTCTGCATAGTTCATAGAAATGGTACCTTTATGTTAATCTTTATGTTGGTTTCTGTTTTGTTGTTGTTGTTTTTGTTTTGGTTTGATTTTTTGCCTTGTTTTGTTTATCACGATTAGGTATTTTTTGTGTGTGTTTGTTTGGTTTTGAGAGTTTCCTTTGTTATAACATGCTGAATATTTTGGGTTTTTAAAATTACTTTTTAGCAGTTGGTTTTAAATTTACTTAAATTTTTATTTTTTTTTTATTTATGCCTCTGAGAGTTTGAACCCAGGGCCTTGTGTGAGTGAATCAAGCACTCTGCCCTCTGTACCTCCCGGCTCTCAGATAGGTTTTAACGACAGCACTGGCAGAGTCTGTCTCCTGACAGCAGACGAGAGAGCCAGCAGGTGAGGCTAGCTTTGGTCCCTTCATGGCTCTTATTTATTTTCTGATTACTCCTCAAGTTCAAGACTGGCCAGCACAGTTGCCGTTGGGGGTGTTTGTGTGGCTCACGGAGTGTTGAATGCCCCCTCCATCCCTGCTCTCCCTGCCCGTCATGACATTCTTCCCTGTGCTCAGTTTTCAGCTTGAGCATCAACCTCCTCGTGCTCTGAGCCCTTTCATGAAGGCTTGCTTACAGGTAGCTGAAATCTGAGAAGGAGAGCTACCAAATTGCTGGTTTTAATCCAGATGTGCCACAGAGCCAGGATGTGTGGCGGCAGCTTCCTGGTTAAGTTGTTCTGCATATTTAGATACCGGCAAAAGCGGGAAGTCAACATTGACCTCATTTATCATCTCTGCAGACCTTATTAAAAGATAAATTGAAAATTATCTCAAAATGTGCTTTGTAGGCCCTGGATTTGACCCACGATTATGGACTTTGTGGGTGCTTTGTTGGTTTCCTTGGTGTGGGGCAGCTTCTCGCCTGTCTGGACTTGGCAGCATGGCATTTGAAGGTGCTGGTTTATTTGTGGAATATCCTTGAGTTTGAGCTTGTCTGATTTTTTTTTTGTACCCTACGCATTTTTGGAATTCTGTGTTCTTCTCAGTGTATATTAACTGAAGCCATGTGATGTAAGTTTGAATAAATGTGGTGATAGCATATATCTTGCATTTGTCTTTATTTTATGGAAAAAGCCTTTTGAAAAACACAGAAATGGGGTTTTGCATCTCGTAGAGATTTTTCAAAAATTTACACTTAAATTTTTATTATATCTCTGTGTGTGTGTTCTGATCTCTCTCTCTCTCTCTCTCTCTCTCTCTCTCTCTCTCTCTCTCTCTCTCTCTCTGTATGTGTGTTCACATGCGCTTGTGTGGAGGTCAGGAGACAATTTGCAGGAATCAACTCCCCCTACCCTGTGGGCTTCAATGATCAAATTGCTATCATTAGACTTGGCAGAAGCTCTCTGCGCTTGGACACCCTTCTCACACACTTTCTCACAGATAACTTTTGTGGTAATTAGTACTGAAAATTTGGTACCACATACCTGTAATTCTAGCCATTTTTGAGGAGGCTGAGACAGGAGGGTTCAAGTTCAAGGGTAAGGGTGACTGTATAGTCATCTGCAGACTGGGGCAAAGTGTGATGCTGGGGACATTCAGGAGGCCAAACCAGGATTATTATTTTGAAACAGGATATAACAAGACCCTGTTTCAAAAAACAAAACTTCACAAATAAAAGTCCATAATCATGTAAGACAGATGGCAAGCTTATGTATTTAATAAATGTCCCCTCTCACTCCCCCAATATCCCTACATGCCTGGCCCAACTGTGGGTCCCAAGAATCCAAATGTAAGTGGCAAGCAGTCTGCTCAGCTGTGCTTCTGTACTGAGATAGGAGTAGTCTTTCCTTGCATTTCTTCAGTCACAAACTTCACCCAGCATAGATGGAACCATGTGCGAGAGTTCCTTTCCATTACTCAGAGAAACACATTTTATAGACAAGCATAAGCACTTTGTAGTACGAATCCCATGAGTTTGAAATACTCTATGGAATAACAGCGGAACCCCGTCCAGTATCTATGGTGAGTGTCCGCTATGTAAGCCTTCTGTGGGTTTGTATTATATATTATTTGGAGCTTAGCATTCCAGGCTTGAGAAAGTGTCTTCTAAGAAACAACAGTTCTATGGGCGTAAAACACTATTGGGGATACCAGTGCACTGTGGTCATGGTTTTTGGAAGCATCAAGATTCCAGTCCTTCAGCTGGGCCCATTCTGCTAGTGAATTGCCTCAGACTTGAACATGTGTGATTAGAAGAATACACTAAGTTTACACACTTTTCACTGTTTCACTTGCCTACAAATTTTCCCACAGCCGATCAATACATGAATGGGTTTAGAATCAGTGTTATATTCACAATAAAATACTATCCAACCACAGCAAAAAAATCACTTATGACAATTTGGGCCAACTTGGGGAGCATTATTCTAAATGAAGAAAGATAATGCATATAAACGAACAATCTCACTTTCGTGTGGAATCGAAGGGAAACTCAGAAGTGGAGAGGAGAGCCTGGATGAGAGGGACGGGGAAAGGGGAAATCCCTGGTCTGTGGTCTGTCACCATGCTATAGGCCGTGGGGCCTGGGAGAGCAGAGCTGGTGAACAAGGCAGACGAAAGTCTCCTGCAATAGCCAGTGGTCATGGCTGCTCTGCAGGAAACTCACTCCTAGCCACGACACTCGGTGTGTGTGTGTGTGTGTGTGTGTGAGAGAGAGAGAGAGAGAGAAAACACACTTCAAGAACAATTCCATGTTCTAAAGAAACTGAGGTCACAAGACCCTTTGGGTTTCCTCACAAGCACTCAGAATTCTCACAGGACTCCATTCCTGGACCGTGTTCCAACACTGTTCTACAGGTATAAGGGTACAATCAGGAGAAATACAAGGTCGTGATTAATATATGTTTCACAACTGAATGGTTTGTTTAAATGCTCTCACTAGAAAGGGTACTTGAGGTCATGGGTATTGGTACTCTCATCTTTCTACTACAGAGATAAAAATATCATTTTTATACATCAAAAATTATTAGTTTAAAAAGACACAAGCCAATCTATACTTCAAGTGATTAAAATTTGTAGATAACCTACACCACAATGAGGTCTACAAATAATTCTCCCATAATGCTTGTCTCCATGCCTGTGGCCACAAATTTAGAACATCATCTTAGAAATAATCATTTATTCCAAAGGTTCTGGAGCTTCTGGAATGTTAGAATGGAGACCTCTGTAAATCGGTCTCCTCAAGAACAATGAGAAAACAGAAAGGTCCAGCCAGCCTTTTTTGGTCTCTAGAAACTGGAGACCTGTAATACTATAATGAATGTTAAGGAAAATCTTCCAAGTCCCAGGGTCGTGTGACTGACAGTGTTTTTGAACTGCTCTCATTACAAATCCAGCTCCACTGTAGCTTTGGACCAACAAATCTTGCATTTAGTTGCTATGAAAACCAGTAGCCTTGTGGCTCCAGAGGAGGTATTACTGTGGGGCTTCTCCAAAATCCTCTCCCCAGAACTGACATTTTCAATGCTTTGGCAGCTTCCTGGGAAAGCCCCACTTGAAGGGAGTTCTGTGAGTTTGTCTTGACCTGGAGTGAATTTTACTGAGCACTACCCTCAGCACATTTCTGTTGGACACTCCCCGGAAATTGTCTAACGTCCTAAATACCTAGGACAGTGTTACCAGATGAAACAAATCTGGTAACAGGTCAAATCTGGACAGGTTGGGACATAAAGTATCCATTATGAAGAGCTCTGATAATTCCTGGCGATCTATAAGGTTCCACAAAGGCTGTATTCATGCGCCCAGAAAATCTAGAGAAGACCTCATCCATGTCTGGCTGACTAGAGACCCTATTTAAGCAGGAAGTTCGGGCTAAGGCAGAGCTGTAAACTGCCAGAGAGCTGATCATACACAGAGAACATTCTCAAGGGGTATTAGCTCTGACCCTTCATTAGCTGACCACGAAGCTCAATGAACAGAGAAGCCAATGGATTCACAGTATAGGGAGGGAGTACAAACTTCATAACAATAGCTCATGAAAATCACTAAACCATCAATAATTTCCACAGTTGTCATATACAAGACGCTAGTTTGGGGTCTGGGAATGAGGGTCAGTGGAACAGTGTTTTTTGTTATGCACAAAGCCCTGGGTTTGATCCCCAGCAGCACAGCCTTAAATATGTGCCTATGTATGTGGGGGCGCAGTAAGGGGTGTACGTGTTCTCATGTGTACATGTGTGGAAGCAAGAGGCTACCCCGTCTGTCCAGAAAGCCCCCAGGACCCTCCTGATTCCACGTCCTAGCATCAGCATACCCAGTTGTTTTTTTTTAAAAAACAGTGATGCTAGGGATGCGAACCTAGGTCCTAATTCTTGTGCAACAAGCACTTTACCTACAGATTCATCTCCCCAATCCTAAAATACCTAATTTTTTTATTAAAAAATGGAAATACTCAAACAGGAAACTATAACCGTGCACAGAAGAAGAATCAGATACAATTAATAAAAAATATCCTTGAAGGGTGGACTTGCAATGAAGACAATAAGCCAGATACTCTGAATATATAATATATATGATTTATAAATATCAATTTAAAAGCAAAACCAGAAGAAATTATGTGTGAGGAATTTTATTAGTCAGGGTTCTCTGGAGTAACATAATTCTAAAGAAAGGGAGTTTATTAGAATAGAATGACTTACAGGCTGAGGTCCAGCTAATTCAACAATGAATGGCTGTGAACAGAAAGATGAGAAATCCAGTTGTTTAGTCCACAAGGCTGGATATCTGAGCTGATCTTCAGTAGACACTGGAATCCCAAAGAAGTAGGCTCTGACACTAGGAAATGAATGAATTTGCTGGCAAGGTGAGGGCCTCAGGCAAAGAACCAATTAAAGGTGTGTGTCTTCCCACCTCCAAGGTCTGGATTGGAAGTGGATCACCTCACTTCAAATTAAGCAAAAAAAAAAAAATATCCTCATAGGTGGATTCTCCACTATTTTTGGATTTTAGTTAATTACAAGTATAGCCAAGTTGACAACCAAGAATAACCATCACAGAAAGTATGAAAATATTTTCTCAAAGGATACCAATAAAGAGAAATTAGAAAAAAAACAAGAAATTGAAATAAAAAAGCCATTAGATATATTTTTCTAGAAAAGTGTGTGTGTTCAGGAGAGATAGACAGCTCAGTGGTGAAGAGCACTGGCTGCTCTTCCAGAGGCCCTGGGTTCGGTTCCCAGCACCCACTTGGCAGCTCTCAACTGTAACTCTGGTTCCAGGGATCTGATGCGTCACACAGACAAACGTTTGGGTAAAACACCAATACACTTAAGACAAATTAAAAAATCTGTATGTTTTGCTTATCTTGCTGGTTACATGACTCTGTAAAGGTGCATTAATTATGCAAGTCTGTTGTGTTCAGCTTCATGTCAAATGCTTTTCCTTCTTAACACTTGGTGTAATTTGTGCATAGGCATTTCTGTGTGCCTGTTTTTCTCAGCGGCACATAGACTTCATCAAAATTGGGTCTATCTACTTTATTCTCCAATATTTGTCCAGCCTCTAACAATATCTTCCTGGTAATAGTCTTGCAAAAACTGTGTTAAATAAATAAATTATGAACAAATTAATGAATGAAAGGAAATAGTACCTCACAGTCACCCTTAGATATCATTACTGGGTATCAGTGCTCCACACATTAATATCCTTATTTTGGAGGTTGGAAAAGTCACTAGTTGCTTTTGATTTGGCCAAGACATCAGCGAGGCAGGAGTGCCCTCTGTGCAGGTCTGGAGTCCCTGGCCTGCCTACTTACCGCTGCTGAGTGTGGTTGCATGGCTGAGTACCTGCTCGAATCAGCTGCAGTGAGCACACAGAAATCGTTATTTTCCCCGGTAGGTTAAATTTTAAATTTTATTCTTTTATTTTTCTCTCCTACATTACATCCCAGTGACAGTTTCCCCTCCTTCTTCCTTCTCTCTCCCTAGGTCCACTTCTCCATTTCCCTTTTTTAAAAAAAGTAGTCCTCCCAGGGATATCCACCAAACATGGCCTAACAAGTTACGACAAGACTAGGCACAAGCCC